TGGTACAAGTCTCTACTAAGATGTGGCTGGGTGGGACTTGCTGGCAGATGGGAGAGAGTTGTTTGGGTTGTTCTGTTTCTTTAGATGATATTGAAGAATATTACCCAGCCACTCTGGTTAAAAAGTGAAGGGTAGACAGTTCTAACAGCACAGCCCTTTAGTATTTGCAGCCAACTGGAGCGTTCGCCAATGGGTTCTCCTGTTTTTCTCAAAATACCCTCCCAGTTTGAACCTAGGAGGACTGTAATGTTGCATTATTAGTGGCAGGGCTGCGTCCCTGGCACCCGGCCGCCCTCATGGCTAGCTTATGCCCAGAAATAATTACACGGAAACTGTATTCTTTTAAATACTGCCTGGCCCGGCTAGTTCCAGCTTCTTATTGGCTAGCTCTTACATATTGATCTAACCCATTTCTAATATTCTGTGTAGCCCACAAGGTGGCTTACCAGGGAGGATCTTAACCTGCGTCTGTCTGGAGTGGGAGAACCATGGCGACTCCCTGACTCAGCTTCTTTCTCCCAGCATTCTCTCTGTTTACTCCACCCACCTATGTTCTAACCAATAAAATGGGCCAAGGCAGTTTCTTTATTATAATTAACCAATGTCCTTCCTCCATCATTGTAAGGCTCTCAGAAGTCAGTCAATATCAAAAGAGCTTGTCATCTTGGGTGACTTTTAGTCTTTTAAGGGTTAAGACAGTGAAGCATTATGCCCCTTACTCTCACATGCTCACATTTAGATGCTCCAATTTGTGGACTTTTGAGAGGTATGGCTAAATAGGCCTTTCAGATCCTGCACTCCTTTGATATCTGAAGGCCACAGAGGAATCTGAATTCCATCAGCTATGGTAGAATCGTATTCTGTGATGTTATTTCTTCCCTCTCTGTATGTTTAACAAGGAATCAAAGAAACAAAAACCTAAATTGCAGCTAGTCATCAAAAATATAAGGACTAAACTCAGGTTTTTTGTTTTGTTTTTTGTTTTTCCTCTTCTATGTTGAAGTCAATAGAACTAAACCCAACCGAAAGTGTTCAGGTAAACACTAACAGTTTCTTGTGGATTGATGCCTTCCTTTCTATGGAAAGAGGTGGAGTCGAGTGTCTAAAGGAGAGGAGAATTTAGAGTAGTGACCTTGGATCTAAAAGAGTATGATTCAGAGCACAGAAAAATGTTGATTGCTTAGTTGTTATTGCCACTCACCTGGATAGAACTCAAATAAATTCACAACCACTGAGTCGAAGAAGCCATATGGCTCTTGTTCTCCGCCAAGACAAAGAGACACGCATTGCACACCGAAGGCTGATAGCTCCATCTCATCTGCCTGTCCAGGGAAAGGGCACCGGGGGACATGGAAATTCATCCTCCCTCTTTCTGTGCCCCTTACTTAGTCTCCTTTTCCCTGCAATGAGGAACCAGTGTCTAACAACAGTGCAAAGACATCATGGAGCATTCAGGCACCAGGCCAGGGCAGTAGGATGGGTAAGCCAGCCCAGAACTGTCCCCAACAAGGCAGCTCAGAGTTCACCTTTGCTGTTTGGGTGCCAAGAGCCACTAAGAACAGTGTGCATACGTGCATGTGTGTGTGTGTTGATTGAGATCATCTTTCCGTATCAAATATTTATTGAGTACTTCATATCTTTCTGACAGTACATTAGCAGACCTGGTTCCTGGAGTCTTGAGGATTAAAATCTAGCAAATAAGATTTAGAGGCAAATATTAAGCGTAAAAATACATACAGAGAGAGCCAATTTGCAGGCACAATAAACCTACCAGACGAGAAACACGGGACCTGTCAAAGTGTTTGGCAGTAAAGGGCTTGACCTGGATTCCGGCTCGCACAGCTTCCCCAGCGAAGTGAAATTCAAGGCACAAACATAGAAGATCAAGGTGTGGGGGATTGTGGAGATGGCAAGCCTTTGATATACATCTTGATATAAGAAATATTTGGTACAGTCCCTCCCTGAGTCTAGAGGATAAGATAGTGAATATTATTATATATGTCAGGCAAGGTAGAGGGAGTCATATTAGGGGGCTCCACCAAATGGTTTTATCATTGAATTGGTGTAACGGCTCAGTAAAGACAGTATTTGCAAAGAGCTTGGAACTAAGATGTGTTTATACCAGGAAAGGCTCAACCCATCAAAATCAGCAGGGTGGTTGGATGCTCAAAGAGTCTGCCTGAGAAGAGCAAAAGTGCCAGGGACAGCTAGAAGAGAGGAAAGGGGGTCAAGAGAGAAGCGTGGAGACTCAGAGGGAAGCGCCGGTACGCTCTCTAAAGAGCCAGGCTTAGGGATGTGACGTAAGTGAAAGAAGCTAGGCACAAAAGACAAGTGTGCTGGGATTCCAGTCTGGTGAAAATACTCAGGACTGTTGACTTCGTGGAGGAGAAAATAGATTGGTGGTCACCAGGACCTAGGGGAACGGGACAGCAAAGAGCAGCGCCACTGGCATCCATTTTGGTCCAGGGAGACATTTGACCACCATATGGAGATGGTGAATTGTGCATCTGTCATCTGAAACACTCCCCAGTGACAAGAAGCAAGGAGTGGGGGCAGGAGTGGGTGATAGGTCTAAGCAAAGCAAAATATTAAGTGTGGGACGTGGGAGTTATTCCAGCCTTTTGTTGGCTAATTGAAAGCCGCACACTGCTAGCTGATGAGGCAGGGGGGCGTGCCAGCCCCAAGTCTGTGAAATGTGGTTGAGGTTTTTTAATTTAATTCACTTCTCGGGTCTTTTAATTGTTATTGTTTTTATTAAACAACTACAAGCAAATATTGTGACCTAACTTTTCATACTAGAGAAAATAAAGTCGCCCTCATCTGTGGCATTCGTTCCTGTTCACGTTACTCTCCTTAGAAGGAACCGCCTTGAACTGTTGGTCATCAGTTCCTACTATTAATTTTGGTATCACAATCATATTCATATTCCTAACCAGCATAATGCTTTGCTTTGCACATCTTTCAATTTTAAATGAATGGCCTCTTTGTATAGACACATTTTTCTGTAGCTTTCTATACTCAACATTATACTGCAGAGATTCACTTTGCCGGTGTGCTTGACTCTCTCCCGGAACACCTTTCTATTTTCAATCAGTCTGGCTTTGCCTCACATTCGGCTCACCTTGAAACTCACAATCTAAATCATAGGTCCTATTTGTCTGGATTTCGTTGATTTATTCTCCCTGTTCAAATGTTCTGAGAAAGCATCCCTAGTTTAGCATTCATTCTATTGGTGATGAACACTGAGTAGACTCCACTTTATTTCCATTACGAACAGCTGGTAGGAATGTTCTTGTTCTTATGTCTTGGTGTATGAGGGCTAAGGGGTGTTTGTATTTACACGCAGGACTGGAATTCCTTAGGCACAGAGTGTGTACACCAACAGTGCATTAAATAGCACCAAGGAGTTCTGCAAACTGAGGGGTTGATTTACATCCCCACTAAGAGCTAACGTGAGTTTCTGTTACTTCCCATCCTTGCCAACACTTGACAGTGCAGCCTGGAAATATGTGTCAATCTAGTGTGTGCGGTGGGCACAGTGCCTAGGATATGGCATAGTGCCGTGGCTCCAATGTTTATCTCTTCATTTACCAGGAAGGTTGGAGAAATAGGTGTATGTGTGGTATGTGTATGCGTGGTGAGGGTTCAGTCCGTGTGTGTGTGCACGTGTGTGGAGGCCAAAGGCTGACCTTGGTGAATGCCCCCGAGGAATAATACCTATGGCTGTCTTCTGGCCTCCACATACACTTGTCCACACATAGATGTACACCCACATAAACAGACACCCGCACACACAAACACACACCACCACCAAGAGAGAGAAGCAAGCAAAAAAAAAAAGAGAGAGAGAGAGAGAGACAGAGAGAGAGAGAGAGAGAGATGACCTTGTAAGATAATCCAGTTGGATCTTGGACATGTGAATTCAAGTATTAACATCCTACTTTTGTGATTTCACCCTGAAAGGCATATTATTAGATGCAGGCTAAGCCTTCACACTGTCCTCCACAGTTTTAATCTGTCATCACGTTTTCTTTTGTGTCTGGGATATATTCTGAATAATCTCTTCATATAGGTCCTCTACCTCATGAATCCCCTTTTTAGCTGTTGAAAGCTCTTTAGTTTTTTAAAATACAGTTTCAGGTACTTTAATCACTAGCTTTTTTATTGATTTCAAAGTCTGATAGTTTTAAATATATAATTCTTTTATATTGTGTTTGATAAATGCAAAGACGGAAGTCTCTCTGGGTCTTAGTTTTTCTTGAGTTGTTACTATTGGCTTTCAATCCATGTACATTATTCCTATGTTTCTTTCTTTTTCTGCGAGTGTGAGTGTGTGCTTGTGTGTATGTGACTGTGTATGAGTTGCGTGTGAGTGTGTGTGTTTATTTACTATAAGTTCAAGTTTCTTTAATTTTATGGTGTTAGGTGGAATGTGAAGTTGCTGATTTCTGCTAGATAGATTCCTGAGAGTTCACCTTGCATTGAACAGCTTCACAGTGAGCGGTTTTCTGGGTGTCTTCTAGAAGACGAGGGTACTGAAAAGACACAGGCTGCTAACTTGTCTGCTTATTGGTTTGTCTCCAAACATTTTTAAGGAAACTTCTTGGGCTCAGCATCAGAGCAGAACTTCACGAAGACTTAGGAGCAAGTGTGACTACTTTGGACACTAGTTTTATGTGTTAAGCTTCTTGGATTCCCCACCAAAGCTAGTCCTGGGTTTTAATTCCTATCCCAACTAGAGCCATGCGTGCTGTTATGGACTACAAAATTCCAGGGCCCATCCTCCATATAAATGACATTTTTCATACATGTGCAGCTTTCATGGGCAACGTCCACCCTGGAATTGTTATAATCCTGTAAATAGCAGAATTTGAAGAACTCAGACAACGCCTTGTGAGTTGATTTGCTGTTGCTTCAACCCCGCCCACCCTCTGCCCCATTATCAAAGGAACTTGGTAAAAGCAGGTCTGATCATTGTGTCCTTGTGTTTGTCTCCCCAGATATGGACTTTCCAGTTGTTCTCCAGCCTACAAATGCAAACGAGAAGACACAGCTAATCAGAGAAGGATCTCGAAGTTACTGCACAGATTCTTGATGCTGGGCCCACGGAGGGTTCACAGCTCCTCCTCTTGGTCCAGCCCTGTCTCTGGGTGGTCGTGGGGAAGTGGGACCATAAAATGCTGTGAACGTACGTGTTCACATTTGTATTTTGTTTTTAGGTTAAGGGGAAGATGATTGCTACATAATTTTCTCAGACTTTCTCTTTGTGTAGACTTCCTAATGAAAAGCATTTAGTTTGATGAATAAAGGCCTGAAGAGTGTTTTGTGCTGCTTGCCTACGGTAAGACTGTGGCAGCGGACAGTCTCCATGAGTCTGATCTTAAGGTGAGCCAGATGTTATTTCTCACTGACTAAAGTTGTAGAAGAAAAGACACTTTCCACCTACTTAACTAAACACAATAGTCACACTTGCCACACATGTCGTAAGCGAAATATTCAGAAGAGTTGAGGAGCTTGGGTTTGTGGAGCTCTTTGTCGATATTTTAAAAGATCACAGAAATATGACCTAAGAGAGAAATGGCATTCAATTAAAACCGAGGAAAAACAGGAACAGATGAGGGTTAGGAGATTCTTTTAGACTGGCTTTAAAAATAACAAAAATATTCAGCCTGCTTAAATCTTAGAACTGAGCCAGAGAATCAGCATGAGCCTGACCCAGCCCCAAACAGTACATTGACCACTTTCTTAGGAAAATGATCTGCGGATAACCTGCCAGTATGAGGCCGATAAGAAAGAGAGACACACGCGAAGTAGGGGATGTGGATCTAATATCTACAAAGTTATATTGCAAAGCATCACTCCTGTTTTCGTAAAATCCATTATATTGATCAGTTCCGTGTGCTAGCCATCTTAGGCTTCATAGTCACCTGGGTAGATGTTTGTTTGATCCCTTTAATCTCACCATGCCGAAGGAACCATGTGCTGTTTCTAAAATGGTACAGCAGCAAGGCGACGTGTGGCGTTTTCCTGAGCCTTTCTTAGTTCTTTATGTAACGTTCCTTTTCAAGTTCTTGTTATATTTTTTGCATAATGTTGCATAAAGTGCCATCTCCTTTGCCTTTTGTTTCTTCTCCACACCCTACCAAATTATAGTCAATTGCTGCTAAATATACATCGTCAGTGGAAACTAGTGTTACATCTCTGACAGTTCTAGAGTCCCCGAGACTCTGCTCAAACTGTGCAGGGGCTGGAGCTTCCCCCCCTGCACACCAAAGCAGAGAGAGATTTGTTTTGAAGACTCAGAAAACAAGTTCTGACCTGTGTGGTGACTGGTCCTTGTGTGGCCGGCACTAGGGATACAGATGCACACTACACTGGCAGCTTCCTGGAGAGCTCTCTGCAGAGGTCTTTGACCAGACGAAAAGGACCTGTGGCTTAGGCAGTAGTTTGCAGGGGCAGCCACAGGTGAATAAAAATCAGACTGATTGAAAATAGGAAGGTGTTCCGAGAGAGAGTCAGGCACACCCACTAGGACAGGTCAGGTGTCTCTAAGGGACGGTTGCAATTAGGTTTCTTTACAACCGTTATATATGGGGTATCAGTGGCTCTCCAGTTACATCTATAAAGCTTGCTAAGATACCACTTCCTCTCTAACATTGCCCAAAGACTTTAATTTGTAACAGGGTTAAAAGTGGAAGTTTTTTTTTTTTCGGAGGTCAGTGTCTTAGGATTTCTCTTGCTGTGAAGAGGTAGCATGACCATTCCTGCTTTTATAAAGGAAACCATTTAACTGGGGCTGGCTTACAGGCACAGAGGTTTAGTCCACTATCATCATAGAGGGAAGCAAGGTGCCACACAAGCAGACATGGTGCCAAAGAAGGAACTGAGAATTCTACATCAGGACAAGCAGGCAGCAGGAAGAGAGATAGTTTAAATGTCTAAAACCTAGAAGCACACCTCCAGTGACACACTTCCTCCAACAAGATCTCTGCTATTCCAACAAGGCCACAGCGCCTAATAATGTCACTTCCTGTGAGTCTATGGGGGCCAGTCTCATCCAAACCTCTTCATTCCACTCCCTGGCCACCATAGACTTGTAGCTATATCATAATGCAGAAATGCATTCAATCCATCTTCAAAAGTCTCCATAGTCTATCACAGTCTCAACACTGTTTAAAAGTCCAGGGTCTCTTCAGAGACCCATGGCAATCTCTTAGCTGTAACCCCATGCAAAATCAAGACACAGATCACATACATCTAACCTTCTGCCCAAGGTTGTGCACAAGTCCCTTGGGGAGGTCAGTGAGGAGGGCACAGAGGCTGCGGCTGCTACATACCTCAACGTGATGAAGAAGTCCCTCAGTGTCACCCTCCCGCCTCTGTGCCGGCCACCCCTTCCTTTCTTCATTCAACATGTTAAGACAAATGGGATTCTAACATAATGGCACAGAATATGCATTATCGTTCCAAGAGAGAGGAAAAGGAGCATAGTGAGGAAATGCTGGACCAAAGCAAGACCAAAAATCAGCTGGGCAAACTCCAGATCCTGCATCTCCATGTCTGATGTCAGAGTGCCCTTCAGATCTCCAACTCCTTTCAGATTTGTTGACTGTAATGCACTTCTCTTTCTTGGACTGGTTCAATTCCCTGCTAGCAGTTTTCCTTGGCAGGTAGACCAGGACCCTGGGGTCTCCAACATCTTGGTTTCTCCAAGGCAATCCAGGCTTCTTCACAGCTTCATAAAATGGTCTCTCTAGGCCTCCATGCGGGGACACCCCGACATACACCTGGCCTCAGTGACTTTCTTTAGCCATGGAGGGAGATTCCATAACGCCTTTCTTGTATTCTTGACTCGAGAGCCAGAACCACCTGGCCAAAGCTGCAAAGTCCTTCCGCTTGCTGGGGCTGGAGCAGGGCCCCCTTGTTCAATTACATCTTCACCAGCTTTCTGTTTTCAGTGGTTTCCTTCACTGCCTAAGCTTGGCTGACCTAGAACTCACTCTGTAGACTAGACTGGCTTCAAACGTAGAGGTCCACTAACTTCTGCCCTTTGAGTGCTGGGATTAAAGATGTGCACCACCACACCTGGCCCCAAGCTTTTCTTTAATTCCCCTTCACGTGTTGGAAACCTAGTGAGGTGGGGTCTTGCTCTGAGGTGACCGCTCCCTTTATTCATGTAGCAGTGTCAGGCTTTTCTTTAACCTATTTACACTTCCTGGTGCCCCTTTTCTCCTCAGATTGTACGTTTTAGATTTTTTTTCCTTGCTCTGCGTGATCCTTTCATTGTAGAGATGCATAAGCATGACCACCAATAGCCACGCAGGACAGTCACTGCTAGGCTGTCTGGAAAGCCTCTCTGCCAAAGCCATTGATCTATAACTCTTCAATTTTAGTCTCAGGCCAGATTTTTCGGACAAGGGCAGAAAGTAGTCACATTCTTCAACAAGGTGTCATACGAATGAACTGTAGGCCACATATTAATGCTCTTCTCCTCTGAAACGTTTTGAGCCAGGCCCCCACAGTTCAAATCATCTTCATTATCACTGTCTTTCTTGCTCCTACTGGTATGGCCCATTAACCCCCCACTTAAAGCATTTGGTCGCTTTCTTAATCCAAAGTCCCAAAGTGTAGACTACAATCTCTATGTATCTAAAGAACCTAAGTATTCTGACTATAAGTATGACAAACATGAACGACTATTGACCTATAATACCTAATACCTATATAACTTAAAGACGAAGACTTTATATCAGAATATTAAACAATCTTTAAACAACTGTGAAGTTAATGAGGGCAATGACCTCAAAATGTAAACAGTATATAAGTGTCTTGATCAGAGGTAGAAATATATAATGCAATATGATAAAAAGATCCTAAAGGGGCTGGAAAACTGGCTCAGCAGTTAAGAGCACTGGCTGCTCTTCCAAAGGTCCTGAGTTCAGTTCCTGGCAACCATATGGTGACTCACAACCATCTGTAATGAGATCTAGTGCCTTCTTCTGGCCTACAAGTATACATGCAAGCAAAACACTGTATATGTAATAAATAAAGATTTATTTTTAAAAAGATCCTAAAATTGCATCAGTATACAAAATGTCTTAAACAGAGGTAGAAATATACATGCATACAATCTGACAAAATAACTTTGCATTGGTGTACAAATATTGTAAGAAACAGGAGCATATCCAATATAACAAATATAATTTGAACTTGTATCAATATACAAAAATCTATAGCCAATGTAAATTGTCCATAAATAATAGCTCACAAGTATTCACTCTCTTACTCATTATTATTATTATTGTTATTTATTAGTGTGAGTAAGTTCACACTAATTAGCCTATTATCTCATTCAATTTTCATTGCTGCACTAATTTGTTGGGGGAGGCTGCTTGTTCATTTTCTGGAAGCCCAGACTCTGACAAAGTTTTGGCAGGCCCCGGCAGAGGAGTCTATCTCCTACGGGCAGTTAAATGGCTTCTCACTGACTCTGTTTTCTCTCTCTCTCTCTCTCTCTCTCTCTCTCTCTCTATATA